AAAAGACACATATTTGTTCAAAACATACATATCTATCTATCCGTTTAAATGTCTTACTATTTGTACACGTGTAACCTATCTGTGCAACATTTATTCCAATTTATCTCTATATGTACGCATGTCACATATCTGTTCAATATCCTCTATCCATCTAGTTCATTGCTACCAACTATCACCGCAGCCAATGACTTTCTGGCGACTTTTCAACTAGTGTCATTCTCACAAAATAATAATAATAATAATAATAATAATAATAATAATAATAATAATAATAATAATAATAATAATAATAATTGTGGGGACATAATTTTTGAATGACAACACGTGGCCGAGGTGACGCCGAAGTATCAGCTGAGGTGTCATGTGTCTTGGTCATGATGCTGAGATGATCTCAGCTAGGCCGAGATTATCTGCGAGAACACCAGAATCTGGCATAAGCGGATAAGGGACAAGAGTCCTAGAATGGGAGAAGACTTCAGTTTGGGTAAAGATAAGACTCTTAGAGAGTTTATCGTAATCCTACTGGGAGTCCAAGATTAGCAGTAATCCTAAGTCCATTGGAGCTAGGCTTCTATTGGGACTAGGATTATGTTGGCTATAAAAGAGAGACACACTCATGGGTCTAAGGTATGTCTTTTATGCCTTGTCTAGTGAGTTTAGCACTATTGATTATCTTTGAGAGATATACTGACTTGATCGTCAGAGTGCCCCCGGGTGGACGAACCACCGCCGGAATCTTCTCTTTCTGTTGCAGGTCAGACAGGTGCCATCTATTCTGCCAGTGCTCTCCAGCTGAATACTGAGTTGGCAGTGTGGTCGGAAAATCACTCACACAATTTGGTGCCATTTGTGGGAAAGAAAGGAGAATAGATGGCCAATGATGGCAGAAAGAGAGGGTTGGAGACGACACCCCTACTGAGAGTGGGAAACATATTGACCTTGACGTCGAAGAAGACAACTGCAACAAAGAGGCTCGTGATAAGAATCACGGAGGAAAGGACGTCGGCCAGGAGGGTGGCATACCGAATAAATCGGACCGGAGCGGGTATTATAACGAGGACGACCTCCAGGTATGGAAAGATAGATGCCTGCGGAGGGACAACGAAATAAAGGGGATGGCGGACAAATTGGTGGACTTGCAAACGGTTGTCAATTTCATGATGCAGAACAACGTCATGCAGCCACCATTCCCGCTACAAGATACGCCGATTCCAGCGGCCAAGAAAGGTGCCCAGAAAGGGGGGCAGAAAACGGTTCCTGCAGTCCCTCAGCATGGCGGGACCAAAGGACATTCTCACCGGCCTTTGCGGGAGGTCGGGCATGGAGAATCCCAGAAGGCATGTTGTAAGTCACGCGTCGTACGCTATTGATCTATTGGTTACTATCAAAGCTATCTGTGCTAGTTATCTGTGAGTAATAACTTAGTAAAGCTATGTTTGATATGAAATACTTTCTAAACATTATGATATGATATGAACTGTCTTTGAATAATACAACAGGCTATTTTGTGATTCCATGAATGATAATCCATATCTTTGAAATGTATTTGTGGTATCCTTAGCAGAGGCCCTCGCCCAGGGGACATAATACTATGGCTTATGGTCATGAGGGCATCGCCGGGGGAAACAATACCGTGGCCCACGTGTAAGATATGTTACTCGGTACCGGAGGTTCCTTTATGGAACTTGATATGCTTGACCAAGGAGATATGTCAATGCCAATGGAAGTACCACACATGATTTGAACACATATATGAACATGACTCTATTTTTTATATGACTATGCTTATCTCTCTGATTAATATGATACGAAACTGGACATCATTCATTAAAATCTTTACTCTGTTATTATTCACTGGGCTTTCGCTTACTATTTATTATATGTATGTAGGCGACTAGGCATGTAACCAGGCTCAGAGTTGTTGGCCTGGAGTTTCTGTTTTGTCCGCCAACCATTGTGCCTTTCGAGGAGGTTCCGGAAAAAGTTCAGTGGTCGAGTTTTGTAAACTAAGACATAAGCTTAAGACTTTTATTGTTTTGTGACCTCTATTTTCTATATAATGATAAGGTTGGATGGATCTATATGACGTTATATATGTATATATATGTCTACTCGAAAAGAGTTCATGCTCACAAGCTTTTAAATTATCTATCCCATATATGTCTGCACAGCTCTATAGACTATGTATGTTTCTATATTTGCTTCTGCAGCCCCCTTACATGATAATCTGTTCAGAGGCCTTTAGTAATCCAAGGATTACTAGCTGGTTACGACGCTAAACCTATAGGGGCGGGTTTGGGTCATGACAGTAGAGCTATCTAGGAAATATAAATTTTCCTTCCGAGTACCCTTCATTGCAACAAATGCTCCTCGTACAAGGACTCCACCTTCCACAGTTACTTTGTAACCTTGGAGTCTAAAACTCCCACTAAGATGAGAGTTTTTGTCAAATTCGGTATATACTGAACATCGTCAAGAATTTTAATTGTTTCATCATGCATCTTCAGTTGAATTGTTCCAATCTCCTTTGTCTGGCAAGCTTGGTCATTGCCCATCAGCACAACTCCTCTATCAAACTCTCATAAGCTCGAGAACCACTGCTTGTTAGGACATATGTGGTATGAACATCCAGAATCTAGAATCTATTCATCGGAATAGCCAAGTGATGAAACTATGAAGGCTGATCCTTCACCATTATCTCTATCTCGTGCAACGTTCACCTTAACTTCTTTTTTGTCTTTATTGGGACAATCTTTTGCTTAATGCCCTTTCTGGTAACAAGTAGTACACTCGTCTTTTACAAGACGTCTTCTATCTAATGATCTCCCTCTTGATTTTGAGCGAGACTTTCCTCGCCCTGTATATCTTCTGTTATTCATCCTGTCTCTAACTGTCAATGCCTCTCATGCTGCATCCCTGTTTGCAGACTTATCTTTCCTTTTGAACTCATTATTTACCAAGGCGTTTGAAACATCAACATACTTGATCTTTTCTTAACCATACAGTAAAGTGGTGGTGAGATGATCATATGTGTTAGGTAAGGAATTCAACAATAATAGTGTTTTATCTTCATCATCGATTTCAACATCCAAGTTTTTCAAATCGGCAAGAATTTTGTTGAAATTGTTCAAGTGTTCATTCATCGAAATACCTTTCTTGTAGTCAAAACGAAACAACATCTTCTTCAAGTATAGTTGGCTCTCAATGCTCTTTGCATGAACTTGTCTTCCAACGCCTTCCAAAGCTTCTTCACAGTATCATACTCTGTGAGGCGTCTTTCTTCTCTTTTGCAAGACAAAGTCAGATGGAACTATAGGCCAGGAGATTAACTTTCTCCACTCAAATTCATCCAAGCTCTCTAGTTTGTCTCCCAGAGTGAAATGCTGGTTCATCTGGACAAGCATGTCTTTAACTTCGTATTTTCACATGCCGAAGTTGCTGCTTCTATCAAACTTTTCTACCTCGAATTTAGCATGGGACACCGAGGTCCAATGCCTAGCTGCTTGTAGTCACTGGGTTGCTTGTGAACTCGGTTGATCTCGTCTCTCTAGATTCTGCCATTGAGACTGCTCAATAATCTCCACCACAAACAATAACGGATGCTTGAAATGCCCGGAACACGACAAATTCTAAGCTCCCGAAAACTTCACTGAAAATTTGGGTTTAATCTCAAAAAACGGAATTTGCGGTTGTGTCCGGAATGGTTGATTTAGCTAGGAAAGCACTTTCTCCACCTCTCCAGGGACCTCAATAAAATTTCTTCAAATCCAGGGACCAAATTGCAATTTTCCAAAACTTCTGGGGACAGCAATTAATAAAAGTTCCATGGGCTAAATTATAATTTTAGCAAGATCAGGGGCTGAAATGTAATTTACCAAACTTTCAGGGACCTCCCTATGATTTCAAAAATTTCGACTGACTGGGGCTGACATGGCAAATGTGCTAATGTAGCAATGACGTGGCAGTTGAGCTGGCGGTGACGTGTCTCGACACGTGTCAGTGACGTGGCAGTGCTGAGTGGGACGCTGACGTGGCAGGTGTGCTGACGTGGTAGTTGAGCTAGCGGTGACATGTCTCGACACGTGGTTCAGATGTGGCAGTGACTAGGCTGACACCTAGCGCCGATGTGGCGTGACGTGGCAGCTTCCAAAAATAAATTGAAAAATTGTTTGGAGAGGATTTTGAACCATTGACCTCAAGGTTTCAAGCCAAAGGCTCTAGCCACTCTGCCAAGTATGAACTTGTGCTATTTTAGTGCACAAGTGAATACTTAAAGCCTTTAGGATAGGTTGACTTTTTCAACCTTTGCTTTTTTGCCGGACTGAATTTTCCGGAAAGTCTCTGGCAGAATTTCGACAAGCGCGTAAGGGCGCGTGAAGTGTCCTCGCGGGTTGGTCTTTTTGTGTTTGAACTCCTCTCGTCGAGGCAGTCATCATAGTATACTAAAAACTTGATTTCAACAACTTCGAAATTTTTGTTTACAGAAAAACACTCTATTTTTTGCACAACAATGCTCTAATACCAATTTGTTGTGCCTAGGAAGGAGAAAACAATCACACACAAGCACACAAGTAAGAACACACAAAGATTTACGTGGTTTGGCAAATCGCCTACGTCCACGGGCAGCGGATTTCACTATATTTGGAACACATAATTACACACTCTATAATTCTCTCTCTCTCTCTCTCTCTCTCTCTGTGTATTCTCTTTTCAACTCACCACACAGAATCCTTCCCATTCACTAACCATTTATAGATGAAATGGAGGGCCAGAGTCTTCAACAAGCACTGACAACATTCATCGCAACCACCAATAGTCAACCACCAACAAGATTAGCCTCCCTACCATTTCTAGCTTCTTCATTTTTTTCTTCAATCAGCAGCCATCGTTGAAAATCTGAGCCAATGTTCAACACTGCTAACACGGGATACTTCGTGATTTATGTAGTCGTCGGAGTATATGAAGAGTATGTTTCGATTGCAAAGAACAAACAGTGCTTGATGATAGTCGGAGATGGCATTAACAATACTATAATCACGAGGAACCATAATGTGGCTGATGGGTGGACTACATATAGTTCTGTAACAGTTGGTAAGCTTAGAGGTTTATCATTTGGATTCCACTCAAAGAAAATGGGTATTTTAGATATTTTATATGTATCTACATTGAGTTTAATAATTCAAATTAAAAATTAAGTTTATTTAAAAAAATATTTAGGAAACTCTAGTTTCTTCAATTAGTTTTGCGTTATGTTTTTAATTCTTTGCTTAGTTATAGATGTAAATTTATGGGAAATTTTTTTTAAAATCCCTGATATTAAGATTTTATAAGATAACGGACATACAATATTTTCATCGTAGTTAAGATCCCTCAACATTTCTACAGAAAAAATTCGATTCAGAGAAATTTTGCACAACTCAGAGAAATTTCAATTTTCACAAAGAAATTTTTGTGATCATACCAAAGAAATTTTGAAATTTCACTGAGTCGAAACCGAAATTTCTCTAAGTCGGGTGAAATTTCTCTGAGTTGGAAAAAGTTTCTCTGAGTTGAATTTTCTCTATATAAATGTTGAGGGACTTTAGCTATAAAAAAAAAATCTTGGACCTCTCTTACTACACAAAGTTGGAGATGGATGTTTCACTAATTTTTCCTAAATTTATTTACTTATTAACAAAGATTGCGAAAACAGAAGAAGAATATATAAAGGGTATCTTTTGATTGTTAAGATTAACCGTGGTAAGGTTGCATTTTAATTTAAAATCACATAGGGGTATACGGCTATTTTTAAAAGACAATCAGGGTAAATTGCTATCGAGTCATACCATAGGGCGGTAAAATGAATTTTATCTAATAAAAAAACTCAAGGATTTTTTTGTTAGAAGGCTCAAAGCTTGAGGTTTTTTTTTTTTTTTAATTGTCCAATAATTATATGTATATAATATATATAATTTAATAGACACTGGAAGTTTATTTTTGGAACTCTTAGGCCAATTGGCCCAAGTTTAAATCCTTTTAGACTAAAAGGACATTATTTGTCAAAAAAGACACATATTTGTTCAAAACGCACATATCTATCTATCCGTTTAAATGTCTTACTATTTGTACACGTGTAACCTATCTGTGCAACATTTATTCCAATTTATCTCTATATGTACGCATGTCACATATCTGTTCAATATCTTTTATCCATCTAGTTCATTGCTACCAACTATCACCGTAGCCAATGACTTTCTGGCGACTTTTCAACTAGTGTCATTCTCACAAAATAATAACAATAATAATAATAATAATAATAATAATAATAATTGTGGGGACATAATTTTTGAATGACAACACGTGACCGAGGTGACGCCGAAGTATCAGCTGAGGTGTTACGTGTCCTGGTCATGATGCTGAGATGATCTCAGCTAGGCCGAGATTATCTGCGAGAACACCAGAATCCGGCATAAGCGGATAAGGGACAAGAGTCCTAGAATGGGAGAAGACTTCAATTTGGGTAAAGATAAGACTCTTAGAGAGTTTATCCTAATCCTACTGTGAGTCCAAGATTAGCAGTAATCCTAAGTCCATTGGAGCTAGGCTTCTGTTGGGACTAGGATTATGTTGGCTATAAAAGAGAGACACCCTCATGGGTCTAAGGTATGTGTTTTATGCTTTGTCTAGTGAGTTTAGCACTATTGATTATCTTTGAGAGATATACTGACTTGATCGTCGGAGTGCCCCCGGGTGGACGAACCACCGCCAGAATCTTCTCTTTCTGTTGCAGGTCAGACAGGTGCCATCTATTCTGCCAGTGCTCTCCAGCTGAATACTGAGTTGGCAGTGTGGTCAGAAAATCACTCACACAATTTGACGCCATATGTGGGAAAAAAAGGAGAATAGATGGCCAACGACGGCAGAAAGAGAAGGTTGGGGACGACACCCCTACTGAGAGTGGGAAACATATTGACCTTGACGTCGAAGAAGACAACTGCAACAAAGAGACTCGTGATAAGAATCACGGAGGAAAGGACGTCGGCCAGGAGGGTGGCATACCGAATAAATCGGATCGGAGCGGGTATTATAACGAGGATGACCTCCAGGTATGGAAAGATAGATGCCTGCGGAGGGACGACGAAATAAAGGGGATGGCGGACAAATTGGTGGACTTGCAAACGGTCGTCAATTTCATGATACAGAACAACGTCATGCAGCCACCGTTCCCGCTACAAGATACGCCGATTTCAGCGGCCAAGAAAGGTGCCCAGAAAGGGGGGCAGAAAACGGTTCCTGCAGTCCCTCAACATGGCGGGACCAAGGGACATTCTCACCGGCCTTTGCGGGAGGTCGGGCATGGAGAATCCCAGAAGGCATGTCGAACAAAAGAAACCTGCACCAAAGAACATTGGGATGTTCAGGGAAAGGAATTCTGTTTTGACAAGACCAGTGGAGGGAGATCCAAAAGGACTCACGATGACACTTGAAGTAGTGCGCCAAAAAGGCTGAAATCCGGAGATAGCCGAGCCCTTGGACGAACCAAAGAGGATCTCGGAGATTACCTAGAGAGGAAGCAACAAGATGTCGAGGTAACCTCCCCGGTCAAACCAAGAACGCAGTTCTCGGAAGAATTAGACAAAGTTGAGGTCCCGAAGAGATACAGTATGCCGAGGTTCCAAATATACGATGGGAACTCGAACCCCAACTTTCACGTCGGATTATACCTGAACGCGATGGTGTTATACACTGGGAACGAGCCGTTGCTCTGCAAAGTGTTCCCCTCATCATTTGGGAAAATTGCATCGGACTGGTTTCACAAGTTGCCGAAAGGAATTGTGAAAATTTGGGAAGGCCTGGTCGAGATGTTTGTGGCCAGGTTCGTGACAAACAAACTACAGCCATTGAGGGTAGATGCCCTAATGGCCCTGAAGATCGGCGAGGATGAAAGCCGTAGGGCCTATGCCAAAAGGTGTTATGAGGTATTCAACCGAATACTAGGATGCAACCAAGAGGTGGCGGTCATGTCGTTTAAAAACGGCTTGAAGGATGACTGCCTGCTTCGAAAATCACTGGCAAAGACATTGCCGAAAAGCATGGAGGAGCTGATGGCCAGAATAGAAAAGTATGCCAGAGCCGAGGAAGACACGCCGGGGACAAAGGTGTCCAAACAAGAGAAGAGAAATGGTTCGCCGAAGCAAAGCCGAGATAATACTAGACACGAGAAGACAAGAGCTTAGCCCAAGTGAGCAGATCTCAGATTTTAGATCTGGAATCCCAGATCCCAGAAGACAAGATCTCGGCTTAGATGATTAAGTCCGAGAAAAGAAGAGCTTGGCCTAAGTTAAAGAATTTTTTCCACAAAGGAGTATGTGGAAGCCATGCAGGGAGTAGATCCCCTGCCCATAGAGCAATATCAAGGTCAAAGCCACATGCCTAATGAGAACCTATGTGGAACTTAAGTTCACATTAGGGGGCAAAGGACTGAAGAATGATGCTTAGGAGTTGGAATTTCACAAGCCGAGATTATGTTTAACACTTGTTAAAACTTGAGAAAAGTTTACAAGTTGAAGTTAAACCGAGATTATGTTTAACACTTGTTGAAACTTGAGAAAAGTTTACAAGTTGAAGTTAAACCGAGATTATGTTTAACACTTGTTGAAACTTGAGAAGTTTACAAGTTGAAGTTAAACCGAGATTATGTTTAACACTTGTTGAAACTTGAGAAAAGTTTACAAGTTGAAGTTAAACCGTGATGATGGTTAACACTTGTTGAAACTTGAGAAAAGTTTAAAAGTTGAAGTTAAACCGAGATTATGTTTAACACTTGTTGAAACTTGAGGAAAATTTACAAGTTGAAGTTAAACCGAGACTAAGGTTAAACACTTGTTGAAATTTTTTGAAAAAAATTACAAGCTGAAACCAAGGTTATGCTAAGAAAGGTACTTGGGTACTTGCCGAGGTAAATCATCAGTTTATATAACCAAGGTGTGTCACCCCGAGAAGGTCGCACAAAGATTGAAGTGCATATTAAAGATATGTAAATTATTTTTAGTATAGAATCGTACAAGAGTAAAAAAAGGCACATACAACCACATTGAAAGAAGAAATTAAAAATGCATTCAGAAAAGGAAAGAAGGCACTTCGGCCTAACATTAAAGAATGATTGTTTAGATTACAAAAAGGCCGGTGTGAAGTACGCCGATATCAGACGGTGGTAATGAGCAAAGAAGTGCAACGAAAGCAGCAATGAAGGATTTGAGAGAAAAAATTTTGATTTTGATCAAAAACATGAAAAATGGCAATTATGGTGCCTTGGACAACATACTTGACAGACGGCGCGCGCAAAAATGATGCGACTTGATGGCGCGTATCAGATCCGGTCCAGTAAGGGAAAGACACATGGTGAAAACGGTTGAAATATTGTGCATACCAGCTCATATGCATGCTGGAACTCTTGGAGTTCTTGATTCAATAAAGCAAATACCTCAGCTAGGAGGACGATTTCGATTGAGAAACTTGAACAAACTTGGTCGTTGGTTCTAAAGCATTTATGAAAGCAGACTATAGGTCTTGGTCATATTGAGCCGACGAGTTCTGACTTCGGCAATAGATGATGAAGCGAGCTTAGCCGACGTGCTAAATGGAAGAAATGATATAGGTTCCATCACCTCAGGATGTCGAGGTAATAGAACGTAGGGGGCAGTTGTGGGGACATAATTTTTGAATGAAAACACGTGGCCGAGGTGACGCCGAAGTGTCAGCCGAGGTGTCACGTGTCCTGGTCATGATGCTGAGATTATCTCGGCTAGGCCGAGGTTATCTGCGAGAATACCGGAATCCGGGAAAAGCGGATAAGGGACAAGAGTCCTAAAATGGGAGAAGACTTCAGTTTGGGTAAAGATAAGACTCTTAGAGAGTTTATCCTAATCCTACTGGAGTCTAAGATTAGCAGTAATCCTAAGTCCATTGGAGCTAGGCTTCTGTTGGGACTAGGATTATGTTGGCTATAAAAGAGAGGCACCCTTATGGGTCTAAGGTATGTCTTTTATGCTTTGTCCAGTGAGTTTAGCATTGTTGATTATCTTTGAGAGATATACTGACTTGATCGTCGGAGTGCTCCTGGGTGGACGAACCACCGCCGGAATCTTCTCTTTCTGTTGCAGGTCAAAAAGGTGCCATCTATTCTGTCAGTGCTCTCCAACTGAATACTGAGTTGGCAGTGTGGTCGGAAAATCACTCACACAATAATAATAATAATAAACTTGGACTAAATGACATATGGCCTCAAAGGAATGGAATTTTCACCAACTAATCCTAATTTAATTTTCTTAAATGTAAAAATGTAAAAATAATGAAATATTACAATTAACATTTAATATTACTTATTTATTTTACATTTTACATCTTTTTTTTTCTCATCATTTATAAATAATTATATATGAGGGAAAAATTTATTGGGAAATTATAAATAAAAAAACCTAAGGTAATAACTCTTAGGTTTTTAAAGGTTTTCAATTTAAACCTTAATTTTTTTGATTTGCTTTCAATCTAAATTATTTGCCTATTTTCGATAAGTAAAATCAATGGAAAAAAATATATTTTAGCTATTAAATTCAATATAGGTGTACATAAAATATTGAAAATATCATTTTTTGTTGAGTATAATGACTAAAATATTATTTTTCAACAATTTTTCTTAACAAAAGCAAGTAGATAGTTTAGATTAAAAACAAATCAAAAGATTAAGGTTTAAATTGATAAAATTAAAAATTCGGAGTTTATTTTCTTACGAGTGTCAAACCCTAGTATTTTTATTTTATTTTATTTTTTTCAAATCTATTTTACTCCCTTGTAATTTAAAGCTATAGTGTAGTTTACCACCTACGGGTCAAATATAGTATAAAAAAACCCTATATCGACACAAGAACTCCTTTTCCCAATGTCTCTATTTCTCTATTCAAAACATTTATATCATTAGATTAGGCCTCAAGATTCATATATAATTTAATAATTTTCAATATTTTAAGACAATACGAGATTTGAAAACAGATAAAATTTGGCCTACTTGTTTCCTGATTAAGAATCCAAGACCTACAATTAATGATCTACCATTACACATGTTCAGGTTTATTGTAAATCAAATCTATTCAATTACATTAAAATAATTCAAAATTAACTAATCGTACATTCTCAATGAATACTTCAATTGCAGCTATAGTTGGACCAAGATTTGTAGCAATAAACATAACCATTCGAAACACAGCAGGAGCCATAAAGCAGCAAGCAGTGGCACTTCGAAACGATGCTGATTTGTCCACCTTCTACAAGTGTAGCTTTGAAGGCTACCAGGACACCTTGTACACCCATTCACTTAGGCAATTCTATAGGGAATGCGATATCTACAGCACGGTGGACTTCATATTTGGAAATGCAGCTGTTGTTTTCCAAAACTGCATGTGTATCCTCAACTTCCCATACTAGGCCAATTTACACTGCAAAAAAAAACACTTTTGGCGACAAAATTTTTAGTCGCCAAAAGTCCGTTTTTAGTCGCCGAAAGTCAAAATTTTACTTTCCCCGACAAAATTTTTTAGTCGCCACATTTGTCGCGTAAACGTGGTCGGCGGAGGTATTGGCGACTAAAACTTTTTTAGTCGCCAAAATACAGATCTTTCACGACCAAAGTTTTAGTCGCCAATAGTGTTTTACACTTTTGAAAATCATACATTTACCGACTAATAATTTAGTAGCTAAAACTCACTTAATCGCCGACTAAACCATTTAGTCGCCAAAATAAAGACTTTTGGCTACTAATAATTTTAGTCGCCAAAGGTGTTTCCGTCGAAAAAAAAAATACCCACTTTTTTGCTTTTTCTGAGTTTCGAACCGCCAACCATCCCACATTCCAAACCTTTAGCAACACACTCCCTCCACTATGCCACTACAACATCACATGAATATATATGCAATATATATTATTTATACAGTATATTGACCGGTATTAATACAAAACAATATATATAAATATAATTTATTTTATTCAATATAATTTATGTAAAAAAGAAATTATTTACTAAAAAAAAGTTAGGCCACTTTTGGCGACTAAATCCATTATTTAGTCGCCAATTGTATTATTTTGGGCTACTAATTAATTTTTTGTCGCTAAAAAAATAAGATCAAATTAAAAATAAGCAGTTTTGGCAACTAAATCTGTTTTTAGTCGCCAAAAACGTCCCCTTTTGGTTACTAAACTGAATTTTAGTCGCCAATTGACTGTTTTTAGCTACTAATTTTTTTTTTGTAGCCAAAAAGCTTCACTTTCAGCGATCAAACTGTTTTTAGTCGGCAAAACACCTATAATCAGCAACCAAACTGTTTTTCAGTCGCCAAAACCATCACTTTTGGCTACTAAATTATTTTAGTTGCCAAAAATCGTGACTTTTGGCTACTAAACAACCTTTAGTCGCTAAAACCCCTATATTCGGCGACTAAACTTCCTTTTAGTCACTAAAACCCTTATATTTGGCGACTAAACTCTTTTAGTCGGCAAAAGTGATCAATTTTGGCGACTAATTCCATTTTAGTCACCAATTCTACTACTTTCAGCGACGAAAAATGCAGTTTTAGTTGCGAAATCTGCTTTTTGTTGTAGTGTTAACACAATCACCACACAAGGAAGGACAGATATAAACCAGAATACAGGTACTTCAATAAAAAATTGTATCATTACAGTTGCCCCTCACTTGGCAACGAACAATGGCACGACACAAACATACTTGGGCAGGCTATGGAAACTGTACTCGAGAACTATTTATATGCAACCCTTCTTGGATAGCTTGATTAATCCAGCTGGTTGGACTGCGTGGTCCGGAACTTTTGCACTGGACACGTTGTATTATGCAGAATACAATAACAGAGGACTTAGATCAAGTACTGCCAACAGGGTTACTTGGCTTGGTTACCATGTGATAAATGTGACATGTGCGGTTAACTTCACTGTCTCCAACTTCATATCGGGAGATAGCTGGTTGCCTACAACTGGAGTCCCTTACACTGGTGGTTTAATGTGAACATAACAACTTTAAATGTCTTCTTTCTGTTCATTTGTATTTAAAATTTGATGTCGTATGTCTATATTTTTTTAAAATTTACAATGAAATTGTCTTTATTATTCAATATTTGGACTGGGAATTCCAAAAGTATTGTTGGGGTTGACACACGCAAGAATCACACCTACAATCCCAAATGAAAAAAATATATATATATAAAACTATTGTGTCGCTTTCCAACTATGAGGGTATTTTAGGAAAATAAAAAATATGAAAATAAGGGTATTTTGACACATTGGACAATCTGTAAAATAACCTCAAAAGTGAACCATTCGTAAAATAACCTCAGAAGTGGACTTTGAGAAGGCGTTACCTTAACCCAACAAAAGGCCCAATGTTAGCCGGAATGAATGTAGGCCTTGATCATTGCAACTTATTTAGATGCGAGGTATATAGTGATGATGTGTTGGATTCAAGTATATGTTCCCAAGAATCAACTAACTTAACTGTCAACATGTTGGCTCTTACTAAAAATAACCATCGCCATGCCTTTCAACCTTTGATATTCTCCTTTCATTATTCCTCAATTCATGCAATCTGTTTGGGACACCAAAAAAAAACATCCAAATACAAGAAGAAAAAAAAAAAGGCTTTTTTTTTCTTAAAAAAAAAATCTTCAATCTCCATTACTATTACAAACTTTTGGAACCCTTTTGAACATCAAATTTTGATTATTGTAGAAGAAATCAAGAAAGAGGGATCGAGGTTAGTTGTTTTTCTTCATTTTCATTATAATCTCATCCATGGGAAGGAAAATTCTTGTGGGCGAGAATCCGTCACTCCATCCGATCATATCATTATCGCTATTCATTGCAAGCATGGTTGCCATATTTGCTCTAGTTTCATCTTTATGTATAATGCGAAAAAAATCGCCCCATCTATCAGCTTCTCAAAGAAAATCAATAGACAATCCCAATGCAGTTAGTCAACCACCAAATGAGGTGACAATGAGAACAACACCAGAAATGATAACAGAACCACCATCTACAACAACAGTAGAATTAGACGGTGCAAAAGACGTGGCACAGCCAAAAAATGAAGAACCACCGTTGCCACTGCCACCACCACCGGGTATGCCCCATTTGAGAGGGGCAATTTCTTATCATAATAGGACAGACTCATCGGCATCACAAGGAAAAGTGTCATTAAGTATGAGCATGACGGTCCAAGGAGGTGGAGGGATGTCATCAAGAGAACTGTCCCGAAGGGAGGACCAAACCAACAAAAGACAAGACAAGAATTTAATGCAGGAAGATTCGATTTGGAAGAAGACGATTATTCTAGGAGAAAAGTGCAGAGTCCCAGACGAGGATGACACGATTCTTTACGATGAAAAAGGAAATAGGATCTCAACATATCACCCCAAGACCCCTAGTTCCTTAGCACTGTCTCGACAAACATCTTCTATCGATCCAGAAGTGATTCCAAGCCCAAGGGCACAAAAGTAAGGGGAAATAATTGGAAAAAATGCAAATCTATTGGGATTTTCCTCAGCAAATTATTTCGATCGTCTGGGATGTTGTTCGAAGAGATAACAAAATAGTCTCTCTTTTTTTCCGAAATGGATACAAACTTTCATTTTATTGTGTAGCATTTGACCAACTTATGTGGAGTAATTTGCACTTGGTTATTACAACCACCAATTTACATAAGAGCATCATCTCACAAAATTATGATATGTAATCATCAAATGAAGTTTCTATTTGGACAAATGCATCATATTAGACTGCACTCAAACTTGAAGGGTGCACTCAGGATCAAATATTATTTTTTTTTATTATTGTTTATGTTGGATGCAAAAATAGGACTAGGGTTTTATTTTTTTCCTGTGATTTGTTTTTGGAGGAATTATAGCACAGTGGGACAAAGGAAAAAAAAATTATAAAAACATATGAGGTGCAAATGAGAAATTGTGGGAACACTTGCACCCCTTTCATATTTGAGTTAAGAAATAAAAATTAAAAATTAAAAAAAAAAAATCTCTATCCCACTGGGATGTAATCCCCACTTTGATTTTGAAAGTAGGTTTTATTTTATTGAAAAATGAAAATTTTCAAATTAATTAGCTTGTTTGGTTCTTATTTTTTGAAAACAGTTTTCAAAAAATTCTATTTTGTTATTTTCCTTATTTTAATGCTTCAATGAATTTTTTTAATATTTTAAGCTATTTTTTTGAATTTTTAGATTTTCCTAACATAAATACACTTAAAAAGTATGATATATGTGTGAATTTTTTTGTTAAAAAAAAAAAATCACCCCCTTTCATATTTGAGTTAAAAAATAAAAATTAAAAATTAAAAAAAAAAATCTCTATCCCACTGGGATGCAATCCCCCCTTTGATTTTGAAAGTAGGTTTTATTTTATTGAAAAATGACAATTTTCAAATTAATTAGCTTGTTTGGTTCTTATTTTTAGAAAACAGTTTTCAAAAAATTCTATTTTGTTATTTTCCTTATTTTAATGCTTCAATGAATTTTTTTAATATTTTAAGCTATTTTTTTGAATTTTTAGATTTTCCTAACATAAATACACTTAAAAAGTATGATATATGTGTGATTTTTTTTGTTAAAAAAAAAAAAACACTAAACACCAAAATAATAAAAAAAAAAAAAAAAAAAAAAAAAAAAAAACACTAAACACCAAAATAATAATAATAATAATTTCTGTACATTTTTCGTATTTTTGTGTATTTATTAAATATTTAAAATATTTTTTCACAAATATTTTACTATTTAGATATATCCGAGTAAGGTGTATCTAAAAAAGTAAAAAAACATTACTTAAAATTTTAAAAATATTCGCTAAAAAAAATACGAAAAACAAAAAACTCAATTTTCAGAAAGCAGAATTCAGAAAAACCAAACACACTGGATATGTTTTCTTTTGGTTGCTAGTGTTCATGGCATGGCAACAATGATCTGAGTTGGGACTGCATTTCAAGAAGCTCTGTTTCTTTTGTTTTTCTTGCTTTTTCTTGCTCTGTTTCTTGCTTTTTCTTGCTTTTGCTTTTCTTGCTTCTCACCAACTGGTCCAAGCTCCTCTTATTGATGTATTTTGCCATATTTCGTATGTTTCATCAATAAAGATTTCTTTTGCCATTCAAACAAAAAAAAAACTTCATTAGTACTAATTTATGCAACAACTTGAATTTTCTCTATTAGAAAGATGATTTTAGCTCAAACTCTAGTTGAAAAGTGGAATTTAACCTATTTCTCAAGCAACTTTGCTGCAGTCATGAACCATTCTACCAGTCACACATGGATGTAGGCCTCAGTAGAATAGTTGGTGTCACTATTCCCTTATATCCTTTAACCAAAATAAATTTGCAACATGAAATCATAGAACTTTAACTCTTCTTTCTTTGCTTTGGTTTTCTTCAATTTTTGTGTATTTCGAGAAATTGTAGTAATTCTTTTTTTAAAAATTTGACCAAAAATGTAAAAATATTATATTAAAGACCTCTTCTTTTTAGATATTGAGTTAAAATATTTTCATTTTTTTTTTTTTTTTTGGATATTTCAAACTTCAGGCCGCACCTAAAAAAACTTATATTGCTGCTCATATACCAATCTATGTGTGTTCCACCAAACATATTTTTACATTTTCTATGTTCTCTTAGGTGTAGAACTGAAGTATACAATCCCACCCCTATTTTGGTTCTTTTACATAAAGCTAGCCATAATTTTTTTTGTTACCTACAGAGGCCAATAATAAAAAAAAGAAATTTTTTTGTTTGTTTGTTTTATTAGAATATAATTTGCTTCTTTGAAATTTGAACCATTGTATTTGCAAATAAATTTTATCTTTTTATTTATTTATTTTTTCAATAGAAATGTTGCAGAAAGAACGCCCTCTGTACCAGAAAATGTTTCTAATCATTTGCAAACCAAAATATTGCTGATTCTATTTAGGTTCACTATTTAGTACAAGTCAACTCCCAATGAAAAGTGAATTAGTTATGTTTTTGTGACTCGTCAAGTTCTTGAAGACAAATCCTATTAACATTTACAAAGTGATTTATATCTTAATCTATTTGGCAATAATCTGAAATTCAATTTTCTTTAACATATTAGGTTGTGGATAAGGGTGGGATGACATCATCTCATGTTTATGATGAGTTCCCTTCTGGCATAGGAAGTTTTTGCAGATGCTTGCAACTTTGCATGAGAAAACATGGTAGTGAAGGCAGAGACACTCATGAAGGGATTTGAATACTTGAAAAAACATACCTTTTTCCATTAGAGGACGCAAAATACCAGAAATGAATGAGGAAACAGGAAAAAAAGAAAAGAAGAAAAGGAGGAAGTAGAGATGTGAGAAAATGTACAAAGTTGTTTTTCGGCTGTTCAAAATGCTGCCTTTGAATAGTATTTTGTCTTATTGGTTTTTACAGTTAGCCCCAATACAAATGTCAAACCAGGGCTAAATTTCTTGAATTTTACCCTACCCATATTTTCTATCATTTTGTCTTGTAGGAGTATTGAAGTATTTGTGTCATTTTGGACCAAATTGATACAAATTTAAAAATTAAAGAACTAATGACATATATAGCATTCTTTTCCATTCAACAACTGCATAGTAGGTTTTTTAATATTTATTTCACCTCTTATTTTGAACAAGTAAATTGTAAGTTAGAAAAGACTTGCATAAGTTAGCACAATGCTATAAATGGGTTAGCACATATTCTGGTTATGTGCAAAGAACAACACATTTGTCAGTCTCACAAGTAAATTATGAATCAGAAAAGACTCATGTAAGTTCTCTCCTCTGTCTTTAGTTTCCTCCTCACAAGTTAGATTTGATCTTTCCTTTTTTTGTTTGTTTGTTTTCTCCAGTGGATTCATGTTATGCTTCTTTGCCTCACTTTCCTTCAGTAGGGGTTGGTATGTTAAGATTAATTGTTTGGGCAGTTGAAAGGCAGTAAGGATAAGCTCCATCTGGTTTTGCGGCTTCATCTAGA